CACCATGTTGACCAGGATGGTCTCGATCTCTTGACCTCGTGATCCACCCGCCTCGGCCTCCCACAGTGCTGGGATTACAGGCTTGAGCCACCGCGCCCGGCCTATCCTTAATATTGTTAGAAGATACATTAGACTTTTCCAACTCAAAGTTTTACACTCTAGAAATCAACACTGCATCCTTTGGCAACACACTAACAGAACTTATCAAAGGAAATTACGTAGCACACTATTGTGTACCTTAAGTTAATGCTAAGTTTGATGTCAGTGTTTAAGGCAAAACACCACAGATAGGGACTTGTTATTTTTGAGGGTTGCTAAATTTCAAGCAATAATGAACAAACATTTTACAATAAGCAGCTGATGCTTAATACTACTGTTAACACTGCAATCCTTAATATTTATATTTTTTGCCCCCCAAATCATTTTTTGGCAATGTGTAAAAATATCTATTTTCACTGGATATTCTCAAATAACATGGAAACTTAGGTTATTATCTATGCTATTGTTGTTTTCTTGTTTTTTCTTTCAATTACTTTAACATCCTAACAGAACCACACAACTCAAGTTAACACGGTTTTAAGAACATATGGAATGGGCTAACCCAATTCCCAACCTAATGAGGACAAGTGCAACATTAAGCAGAAACCCGCACAAAGGTCAAACACTAGACCAAAATCGTACTTTAGGACAACACAACCTGATTTGTAAGAAAAATTGTTTATAAACAATTTAGGAAACAAGATACCTCGGCCCGTTCTCACTTCTCGGCCAGTCACACCAGCCCAAGAGGGCAGGGCGGCAAAAATAATTATAATGGAAGAGACAAAGGCTAGCCTAGATAACGATAAATCCTTTATGTTCGTAATTTGAACCAGCCTGACACTCTTGGCCTATTCTCCTACATCAAGAAGACACAAGTGCGTTTAGAAAATATCCCCATGTTTCCAATAAAACCCTGATTAATTTTGTGAGTAAAATTTTTTAATTCCACCGTTTCGATTTTTAGTCAAGTACCGTAGTGAGTCCCATTGACTGAAACCTTTTTGGACGCTGACTGCGCTTAGCACTGACACGTGCCTGACCTCCTGCAGGCCTCACCGCCGCCGCGGGAAGCAAGCGCTAGTATTCGGCCTTTACAGGTGCAGACACCGAAGGCCGGACTTGACTCGCTGACGGTGGTTACACCGGTTGGCCCTGAAACGCCAGGCCCGGCCCACAGCGCGGCCCGCACATGAGGCACTGCCTTTGGAGTGAATCTCACGCTTACAAGTAGTTGGAGAGTTCTTCAAAGGAAAAAAACTTCTAAGCAAATTGAAGCTCGCAGAAAAACTTAGGCTCTCCGCCCAAGGACTGCGTCCCGGGCTCTCGCGTAAATCTAAGTGACTGCGGAACACCCGACCCACTGAGGCGCCGGAAAAGGCACGATCCGGAGAAAACGCGGGGCATGCTGGGACTCCCAATTAGCCGGCACTCATCACTAGCCAGTGACTGCGGGAAGCTAACGGTGGGGCGCAGGTGCCTCGGCCCCGCATCCCGGGCGCGCCCCTCCGCCCGGCGCGAGCAGGCCGCCCGCCAGACCCAACGCTGGGCAAGGCCCACGGCCCGAGCACTCACCTTCTGCTCCTCCGCGGAGGCTGCCTCGGGGACTTCCGCAGACATAGTGCTCCCTCTGCAGACGAGACGCCGGGAAAAGATGGAATTAGCGGGTGGCCGAGGCCGCCCGGCCGCCGCCGCCTTAGGCCCGCCCGCCGCCCGGCCCAGCTCTCCCAACGCCCGCCGGGCCGCCTCCGCCCGCGCAAATGGCGGCAGTCTTATGATGACACGGAGCCGTGGGGCGCTCTGCGGATCGAGGCCTCCGCTCGCCGGGGCCCGCCTGCCCGTCTCGCGCCGCGCCCCTACCTACTTGACCCCTCTTGTCCCGCTCGCTGTCGTCCAAGCACTTCCTTTTTTCCTTCAAAGGTCGCGGCTCCCGCCTCACCTCACATCCGTCTGTGGCTGCCGAATGCTTCCTGGGAATTGTAGTTTCTAAGTGGAGCCGCCTCTCCCCGCCCTTTCCTGTCCACTCCGGCCCGCTGGTTCTAGGAGCTTTACTGTTTCTACTTGCCCAGCCTTGCCTAGTTTTCTGTTCTGTTTGCTCTCTGCACCGTAGCCACACAGGCTGTCTTCTGGGCACACCAAAGCTCCTTCCTCCACTCTGCCACGCCTTCACATCTTCAGACCCGCGTCTCCGCCTCGGAACCTTTCCTTCCTAAGCCTCTGCACTAGATCAGAGCCACCTCTTAAAGGCGGTCACAGCCCTGAACAGTTCCTCAACAACACGAACTGTATCATTAGACAATTGTTGTGACTTTAGGTCACCTCTCCTGCTCAGATAAGCCGCACCAGAGCAGGGATCTCGTCTGTAATTACTTATATTTTATTTTGAGGGTCCAACACTTCTTAGACAGACTTCAGATTCATTTGTCCACTCCCAGGGGGTCCACTCCCACAACTTTACCGAAACTGCTAGCCCAATTGAATTGCCAAGTCCTGCAGTTAAAAACAAAGCAAAACAAAACTTCCTTTTTTTTTTTCCTTTCTCTTTTTGGGACAGAGTCTCACTCTGTTACCCAGGCTGGAGTGCAGTAGTGCGATCTCGGCTCATTGCAACCTCCACCTCCTGGGTTCAAGCAATTCTCCTGTTTTAGCCTCCCGAGTAGCTAGGATTACAGGCACACACCACCACACCCGGATAATTTTTTGCATTTTTAGTAGAGACGGGGTTTTGCCATGTTGGCCAGGCTAATCTCAAACTCCTGGCCTCAAGTGATCCATCCACCTCGGCCTCCCAAAATGCTGGGATTACAGGTGTAAGCCACGACGCCCAGCCCCACCCCCCCCCCACCCCGCCTCCCGTTTTTTTAAATTGGCTATGCGGCCTTGGATGAAAAGAATCTGTTTCTGATAGTGACACTCGCAGGGGGGGAAGTTTGAATTTCTGGGGGCCAGACCGGTCAAATGGAGAATTTGCCATGGGCAACACTCCACTTTGAGGACCTGTCTGGAAAGCCATTCTTTCTCAACTAACACCACTCTGCATCATTATGAGCCTTAATGTGTTAAACGGCACTCTGGTCTCCAGCACCCTGCTTCTTAAAAGTCCCTTCTCTTGGCCTCCAGGATACTATGGTCTCATGGATTTCCTCCTACTTCTCTGGCCTTTCCTTCTTAACCTCCTTGTTGAATCTTAACCTGCCTCTTAATGGGAGGATTCTAACAGTTCCGTCCTTGGATCCCCTTCTCTTCTAGGTTTACAAAGCCTCCAGGAAATAACTTCCACCTTCATAGTTTTTGTTTTTGTTTTTTGAGACAAAGTGTCACTCTGCCACCCAAGCTAGAGTGCAGTGGCATGATCTCTGCTCACTGCATCCTCCACCTCCCAGATTCAAGTGATTCTCCTGCCTCAGCTTCCCAAGTAGCTGGGAGCACAGGCACGTGCCATCATGCCTAGCTAATTTTTGTGTTTTTAATAATTGTGGGCCAGGTGTGGTAGCTCATGCCTGTAAACCCAGCACTTTGGGAGGCCAAGGCGGGAGGATCACTTGAGGTCAGGAGTTCAAGACCAGCCTGGCTAACATGGTAAAACCTCGTCTTTACTAAAAATACAAAAAATAGCTGGGTGTAGTGGTGGGCACTTGTAATCCCAGCTACTTGGGAGACTGAGGCAGGAGAATTGCTCAAACCTACAAGGTGGAGGTTGCAGTGAGCCAAGATCATATCACTGCACTCCAGCCTGGGTGACAAGAGTGAAACTCTGTCTCAAAAAATAACAAAAATAATAATTATAGAGATGGAGTTTTGCTATGTTGGCCAGGTTGATCTCAAACTACTGGCCTCAAGTGCTTTACCTGCCTTGGCCTCCCAAAATGGTGGGATTATAGTCGTGAACCACCATGCCTGGTGGACGGTCATAGTTTCAACTGTCATCAGGCATACCTTATTTTTGGGGGCTTCATTTTATTGCACTTCCTAGATACTGCATTTTTTACAAATTGAAGGTTTCTGGCAACCCTGCATCCATAGTCCATAGGTGCCATTTCTCCGACACCATGGGCTCACTTTGTATCTCTGTGTAACGTTTGGGTAATTCTTGCAATATTTCAAACATTTTCATTATTATTATATCCATTATAGTGAACTGTGATCAGTTATCTTTGATGTTACTGTTGTAATGTTGGGGGTTACCACAAACTACTCCCAAATAAGACTGAACTTAACCAATACATGTGTATGCTCTGACTGCTCTACCAACTGGCATTCCCCTGTCTCTGTCTCCTTGGGCCTCCCTATCCCCTGAGACACAACAATAATGAAACTAGGCCAAATAATAACCCTACAATTTCCTCTAAGTGTTCAAATGAAAGGAAGAGTTGCATATCTTTTCCTTTAAGTCAAAAGCTAGAAATGGCCAGGTGTGGTGGCTCATGCCTGAAATCCCAATACTTGGAGAGGCTGGAGCTAGTGGATTGCTTGAGCCCAGGAGATTGAAACCCACCTTGGCAATATGGTAAATTTTGTCTCTACCAAAGATACAAAAATTAGCTAGTCTCATAACCTGTTCTCTAAATAAACAGATGAATAGATTAAAAAATTTTTAAAAGCTGGAAATGATGGGCCGGGCGCGGTGGCTCACGCCTGTAATCCCAGCACTTTGGGAGGCCGAGGCGGGTGGATCACGAGGTCAAGAGATCGAGACCATCTTGGTTAACATGGTGAAACCCCATCTCTACTAAAAATACAAAAAATTAGCTGGGCATGGTGGCACGTGCCTGTAATCCCCCATTGCACTCCAGCCTGGGTAATGAGAGCGAAACTCTGTCTCAA